ATGCCATACTCATATGGAATTCTCATCAGTGCTTATCACGGCAGGAATCTGTGAAAAGAGAAGAGAGAGAGAAAGAGAGAAAAGAGAAAGAGAAAGAGAGAAAAGAGGTCAGCAACCATCTATAATACATTTCCATTTCTGCTTCATCACCCTCTAAAATACTAGGACTTTGCTGTGGGATGGGAAGGCGATTCGGATTCAGAGGCACTCGCTGCGTAAGGTTCTCTATCACCCTTTGTCGGTCACCACTTTTGTCGTCGTTCACCTCGGACCATATAGCACCCCGATCCAGTGGAAATGTCGTAGGGTTCCTCTATTCAGACAAAAGGCGGAAGGGATCTAGTGACTCTTGTATACTTACTACTCTCATTACCAGCGTTTACCTGTTGCTATCATTCTTTTTGCCAGCCATCTGTAATGCCCTTTACCCTTTACCACATCACAAACCAAAGTGCGAGGGTTCAATCGTTAAGTCGAAAGACGTTAGACGGCCAGATTGGCTCTTGTCTTGTTTTTTATGGTCCTTTACCAGCCCTTATCAGCATTATCAGTTCCTATCAATCATTCAGGTTTACATACCCGAAATAGCCTGTATTTCATCTGAGTCCGAATGTGTCCACAGCAGCGGGAGTTATGAATTTTCTGTCATACACACGTATGTACGTAAATACATATACATACACAACACACACACTCAGGGATATACGCTTAGACATAAACATATACACGTGCATATACGCATGTACTCATGCACATGCGTGTGCATATTTACAAGCGCTACATATAAACTTAGAAGAACAGCTGTGAACAAGTATTTTGCCCCAGTTACTCAAATAACAGCAACATTAGATGGATGAAGACGAGCCAAGGATGTGGTTGGGCGGAGAAGGGGTTAATAGAGGTTTTCCTAGATGAGATAATGTGTTTTTACTCTTTTTCTTACTGAACTAACTTTTATATTCTTTCGATCAATTTTTTTTGAAAGGATGTTCACCTTCTTCCCGAGCTCCTTTCTTTTACATAGAGATGAGTCATGAGTCACAAAATCATTTTTTGTCCAGTCTTGTCTGGAGGATCGTCTTGTATAGCTGTAAAATAAGTTTGTCTACGAAGGAGTATGATAAGGGGGTCATCCACGACACCAATCAACTGATATTCAACGTAAACTTGTAACTTGAACCATCGATTGTTGTTCCCGTGAAAGAAATGGGTTTGGGAAGAAGATGAGCATCTTTTCAAACAAAATGGATCATAAGGACCTAAAAGTTAGGACTCAGTAAATTTTCTTATTCCTGCGTTCCTGTCATTAAGCCTTTTTTAATTTATGTTGTTTTGTCAGTGTACCTTATAAACGCATAGTCAAGACAACACAAATTACCTATTACCTTATAAGAGTAATTTTTCCAGTACAAGTTTTTCTGGAAAGAATAATATATATTGTACTGTTTGTTTCTCATTTGCTGCATTTCTCTTCTACTCTGTATCAGCCGCTTTCAGTATGAACTCGAAGAAGTGTCGCTTTCGGCTTTGCTTTGTATCTTGAAGCAATCACATGTAGACTCTCGCGCAGTGATCCGAAGGGAGCCCCATGTGGCCTTGCTGATTCAACTTCTCAACGACACAGCAGTTTACAGAGCGGTAAAAGACTTTTTTATACTTTCCACTTCATTACAATAAGCTGATTGATCATGGTTTGTCTCCTTGAACACGAAGGGAATGGTGGAAGTCCGGTGAACCCCGACTCAGGAAACGAGCGGAAGCGATTATCAATGCGGCTGGGTATTGTGTCTAAACAAGACCTGGGGCTGTACTAGGGTTAGGAATGATCTGATCAGCTACTGTAATGATTGACAAATTAATGTGTGCTGAAGATAATGGTATTGTTTCTCCTAGATCTGTACGGTACTCCTTGAGGATGTCAACATGCAGGAGCTGGTATTACCATCATCTCGTAGAACATCTGCACCTGCTCTACCAGCAATTAAATTGATTTCAAGTGAGTGTATCTCTTCCGTTCTGCTCATTCTAGGTTGTAATATTTCCACAATGGGAAATGGTATCGTTTTGATTCAATATCAGAATTTATTGCCCTGATTCAGCTGCCATTTCACGCTATGCTGTCCTACGAGCTTCAATTCGCAGCACAGATTCGGATATCATGCTGGCCCCATTGCAGACACTGCTGCTGACCCCTCTACAGCCTTCTGGAATTAACATACTCGATATTGCATTACTGTACATTGAGCAGGTGAGTTTTCGGGTTTGAATTCTTTGTTGTTCTCAGTTGAAGTTAACTTCAATTCTTATTGGTATGTCAAAGGTAGACAAGCAGTAAAAGTTGTAAGAGGCGGTGCGATATGCATGTTACGGTTAAACAGTTCGAGCAATTGAAAGATTTTTTGATGTCGCTTAGGTGTGTGATGTCTAAAACACGATGACTACAGGGTATTCATGCTTAGAACTTTGCTCCATCGATGCTTCGTTCCACGACTTTTCGAACTCTACACTTCCTTTCAAATCTGAAAAAAGTTTACATCACTTGCTCCTTCCTAGCATCAAGCCCGCGCCTTCGCAGCGTTCGCTGCCTTTGTAGTCGTCCGTCTTCACCATCTTCTATCTACTGCATATCTACTGCATCTTCTGCCGATACTTTGGCTCCCGCGAGGCCCTTCTTGAACGCGCCCCTCAACTTTTTCTGTGGGGCTCCCCGTACTCGCTTTCCTTGAGCCTTGAATTCCGTGGATTTTCCGTAAGAATGATTCTGTGTTCTTCTCAGTACGTGTCAGTAACATCGTAGAAGCTGCTCTGACTCATTTTTAGTTGGACAGGAGTTGTTCGCGTGAATGGTATTACATCTTCGTTCCTGACCCGGTCCAGTGGAGTCCAACCGCATGCTCATCTGATCATCCTCATTTCAGCGAAGCAAAGCTGTCTGCCATGTCTTCTACTTACAGGCGCGCACTCGCTGCCTAGAGCATCATGGACCTCACCACTGTCCGGTACACGCTCCTTTTTAGCTTCCTGCTGCATCGCCGGTAGCAAAGGATACTAGTGCTTTCGTAGCCCGAATATGGGAGCGATAGAACTGCCTTCAGGCATCTGGGATTCATCTCTCAAAGGTCACTATGTTCGAATTCCCGCGATCTCCGTGCGCCGCCCATGCATCAATCGGTGCTTCAACTGAGTCAACCGCTTTCCTATCATCTCTTTTGCTCTTCACTTCACTTTCTGTCTACATGGGAGCCGTTCATGTGATTAATTCTTTGTACAGGAGCCTATCGAAATATTCTTCCCATTTGCGCGTCACCTCGAATGGCCTACTCAGCATATCGCCGACGCTGTCCTTCTCAGCTTTAACTACTTTATGTCTTGTTTGTTTCGATGCTAGGCTTTGGCCAACCTGGGACGAAACTCTCCTCTTCTGGATTGCCAAACTTCTCATAGAAGATGTGCGGTTCTGCGTTCTTCGCCATGGTTACGTCAGCCTTGGCGAGCCTCTTGCAGATTCTGCAGACATCTAAGCCTTCTAAAGATCTCGTCTTCTTCAAACGCTTATATGCGTCCTTTTTCTGTTTTACTACTCGCTGAACTTCATCATTCAAGAACTTCGCTGTCTCGCCACTTTCTGAGCCCACCACAAGTCTTCCCCAGTATTTACCTTTCACACTGTAGGACAATCTCCACAGCGGTGCTTCATGTCTGCTATGGTCAGCCCTTAAGGGCTTGGGAGACTAGCTTCCAAGATCCTTTATTCGAGTACTTCCTTTTATACGAGGTGCAGCTTTCACCAGCAGCAAGTAGTAGCAGTAATTTTCAACCACTTTCATTTTTATTCTTCCTTTACTTCTGAACATTAGCGAATAAGTCTACATGTTTGCAACTCGAATTTCGTGAGTGCAATAAATTTTGTGCCCGGGACCTTTGTTGCTGGCCAGGACTTCTGGGTCCTGCCTGTCGCCATCTGATAGATGTTCCCGTTTACATTGGATTAATCAGTGATTTTCGAGGCAGCTCTGAAATTTTTACCATTCCGTTCGTACTCTTATTACCTCAAGAGAATGCAAGAATATGCCGCCCTTTATCAAGAAAGTTCGACGAAGCCCCACCCCTTCGTATCGTTATGCGAACAGCGCCATGGCTCGCTGTATTCATAGGAAATGTTCGATGAGATCCTTCTTAGATGGTTGATGAGGCGATAATGCCTTTGTTCACCAGATAATAGCCTAACCATATAAATTCTGAAAGGCCTATTGGAGACTATTTAACAAGCTTATGAAGAAGTAAAGCGCGCCGGTTGTAAAAAATCATAGAACGTTTGTTTCGATGCTTCGGTAACTATGCATAAATTTTATACTTGGTGATTACTACTCAGGGTTGTTTTCCTACATTTGAAAAAGAGCTCAAACATCGTGGGATTGTCGAGAGCGGGTATGGGTACATACATACGTGCTTCCATGGATGCCGCGCAACTTGCCGCGCGTCCAGGATGCGCGCGGCAAGTTGCGCGGCGAAATCTATGGTCATTAAAATGACACTGGCGTCTACCAATGGGGCACAAACTTGTAGTGGAGTAGTTTATTAGAGTCAGACGATCCCACTAATCCACATAAGTTCAAATTTGAGCCCCAGTGGTAGGTGCTAAAGTCGTTCAAATTGCCACGAACTTCGCCGCGTAATTTGTCGCGCGCACCCTCGGACGCACGTAAGTTCCGTCCCCCGTCGAGAGCCTGTAAAGAATTGAGTTGTTTCAGGCAGACGACTTGCCATGTCACGCTCTGTACGCTGGACGAATTCTACGCGAGCTATGCGCCATTCGGCCCTCTCTTCAACCTCAGATGGTCGAGCTACTTCGGGCACGCAGAACAGTGCAACGTTACGCACGCGCTATACGCAGTGTTTTGAATCCTGGCACAATACGGTACACGATATCGGATATGGTAACTTCAGGTATGTAAAGGTTTAGTATGAAACAAGGGGCATTGTGCGCAAGATAATACAATTTGAAGCACTCGCAGCAGGTGCTAGGTGCTTCTTCAGATCGCTGAAAGTGCTAACTTTTCCTTCTTTCTCGATCAATCATATCCTTTCACTCGTCGTTACTTGTGTCCTACAAAATGTGGGCGTTCTTGTCATCACGAACTTGGCCATGAAAATTGATACGTCAGCCCGAATAGGATTTTTGTGTATGAAAACATGTGGTTCCATCCCCGCTCTAACAGCCTTCGTTACCTTGAGAAGCTCTGCAGGAAAGAACGTACTTTCTTCAAAGTCGTTGTCGGTGATTTCAATGTCAGCATTGGTGCAAAAGAACAACTGAAGAGCTTCACATTAAATGAAATGGAATGGGGTGAAAGGCTGTCCGAGTTTATAATGCCGACCCACACCATTCATGGTAATTCGCATTTCCTGAAACTCTTTTATCGCAACTGACTAGGGAGAGGGAGATTTAGTAGACAGTTTCTTATGAATCAGATATCATATTCAATCGAAAGTTCTGCTTGTTGAGGTCGCTGTTGTATCGCAATTCTACATAGGAACGTGCCATCGTCTCCTCTGCGCTAAATTGTGTTTTCCAATGCATGGTGAGGATCTGCGAAGCTCAAGGAATGAAGCCCCAAGACCGTTATCAATTCGGGTCTTCTTATTTTGCGAGTTTGAGGGGAGACTCCCTTACTAACAACATCGTAAAAAGAAATGCAACCGGCTCCTCGAACATCTGCAGTATAGGGATAGCAGAGATTCTACAAGTTGCCGAAACTATTCCTCAATTCACGCCTCTCGAATCTTTCAACTTTCAACCTTAATGCATTGCACGCACATGGTAGTAAAAGAAATAAACAACCGCTTAAACAACAACACCTACCAGCAACACGAACACAACTAACTATTGAAAACTATTAAGTCTATTACAAACAACGAAAAGAAGAGCAGATTAATTCATAGGCTCTAACATTTGCCTCTTACTTCAAGATAACGATGCAAGATCTGTTTAAATTGAGCTACACTTCTAGGTGAAGCAACTTTATTGGAGATTTTGAGAAAATCGGCTGAAGCCCTGGTAGTGAAGAACCTGGCCCTGATGCTGGTTCGCGGTCGAGGAACTGATAACTTAAATTTATCTCCTCTAGTATTGGAACACCGCATTTGGAAGAACTTGTGATGTTGCACATTTAACCTTCCTAAGAAGATTTCAAACATAGTAATAAGATCCGTCATTTTTCGTCTCAATAATAGTGAGTCCACTCCCACTATTTTATTCGTGACCACACCTCTCGGTATTGCATTGTAAGTGAACCCAAGTGCACGTACGAAGATTTTCCTCGTAAAACTATTTTGTACAGATCCGATCTTCCTGATGTTCTTTCTGCCTCTTGAAGGCAAGCTTGAAGCTTCAGGAATGACATTACTTGTTGCTGCGCTGCTATATTCTAAAGCATCTTGTCTTCCGCTGTTTTCTATATAAGATAGAGTTCGGCGCTTCACTAACCCTCGCCGAACATTTATATGGCGCTTTTTACAATTAATTATGGTGAGACTGCTCACCGTTGAGTGTAGGTGATCCTCTTTTGTGTGTGTAACAATAATCGAGAATGATTTGATTCAAAGATTTATGATTTTTAGAGTTTGATGACCAGGATCTGGTGCGTATGCGAGGTGAAGCCGCTTTGGTCGTCTTGGAGGCCTTGTCTGGTAAGGTCATCTGACTGGCAATTAGTTGCTGTCAATCTCACCTTAGAAACAGCTTCAATTTCGATGTCCATCTCACCCTAGAAACAGCTTCAATTTTTTATAAAACGAATTTTTTCTTTCATCTAGATCTTATTTCGTTCTTTTCAATGCATTTTTTTCCACTTACTTTCACTGATTTTGTTGGTTTCGGGTGAGGTTTACAGGTTTTTGTTGAAGATTCTGTGGAGACTGATCCGAGCGGAAATAACCTGTGCTTTTTACTGTTCGGCTTCAAGCTCGGTGCTGACGGTATGAGCCAGTTATATGAGATTGGTAAGGATAACTTTTGATTTTTACCTTAAATTAACCTGACAAAATTCCACATTGTCTAAGGAAGAGCTAACTCTCATTTAAGAATGAAACCTAGTTTTGATTCGCTTCAGAATCGCAACCAACCGGTTTTCATCAAGTGCTTTCTGTGCTGGAGCAGTTTATCGGATCTCAAAATCCTTTCCAACTTCAGTTCTCCTCGCTTATCGAGCCGTCATTCCGATTGTTGGTGAGGAAAAATCTGTTAATAGTTCATCAAGTGCTTTCTGTGCTGGAGCAGTTTATCGGATCTCAAAATCCTTTCCAACTTCAGTTCTCCTCGCTTATCGAGCCGTCATTCCGATTGTTGGTGAGGAAAAATCTGTTAATAGTTATCCATTCTTACTTCTCAAAGGGCTGAACTTTTCATCAAGGGAAGAGTGGATTTTTCTATTAAGGGACTAAACAGTAACTTTTTTGATTCTGCAGTTTCTCAAATTACCGGTACCATGAGTCGAAGATTCGCTAAGCAAACTATAATGATCAATCTGATATAATGGTCAATTTGATTTCCTTTGGTTGCAAGTGGTTGGAATTTCAACGAACAAAATCTTCAGACAGTCCGAAAAGAAGAGGCTTTTTCTGAAATCGTTGAGGTCATGGTAAGGTTGATTAAACGTATTAATGCAATGGACGATGAGCTAGATATATTAAAATTAGCAATTATGTGGTTCATCAAGATGAACGTATGTACCTCGTATCAATTGTAGAAATGCTACCCTTTCTTAATTTTCCCAAAGCAGCAGATCTAAAATTTAGGCAACAACCTTCCCTTCTCAGTCTCACTTGTAACGTTTCTAATCGGTGGTTACTGGGGAAGATCAGCATGGTGATGCAATTCTGATCGCCAAGATGATCGCGTTTCGGGAAAAAAAATGTCAAGAAAGAAAGTCATCCCAAAGACGCTGCTATTTTCTGTTGATTCCGGTGTGGAGATTTAATCGATGTGTGTCTAAAAGCGTACCGCAGGATGTGCTGAAACGGTGGCACGATTCCGATCGCGGTAGGCCTGCGCTTTGGCACCCACGGTTTGAAGAGTTCGTGAGGAATTCAAAAAAGTATTTGTTTCCGTGTTTGAGCAGTGCATTTCTGTAACCTAGACCGTATTGTCTTAAAAATATGAAACTGACTGGAGTCATGCAGAACCTGTTCTTTTATTTGCCCTTGTAATCTCTTGGAGAAGACTGCTTGAGACTTCAGCCTGCCTCTGCTCGTAAAGGAGCACCTCGAGGTATGACATTAATTCGAGACCTAAAAGCAGAGCAATAAAACCTTCCTTGGATACTGTTCTGGGCGGAGTTGCACGGTTGGATCTTTTCTCTCGGAGGGAAGACAGCGATCCTCTCGTTGTTAACGTGAATCCAACTATAATATTTTGTCACCAGTCTTTCAAGAACATGTTCACTGAAATGTCGAACGACGTTGCTCCGATCTTACTCGAGATGGTCCGTTAACTTCCTGATCGTAGTCTTCCGCTTCACTCTCTCCCATCACTGAAAAGTTATTGTCGATAGCTACTGATCGGGAGACAGGAACACTTTCGTCGAACGTCGCATTTCCAGAATGAATGCGAGCTTATAAACTTCTAGCGGTAGTTGGCTGACGAGGTCCTTTTCGAATGCAGTGTCGATGTTGGAGGCAGCGGAGCAAATACTAGAGCAGCGGGGTTATTCCTAAAAGGCGGTTGCTCGAAGTCGATCGCGACTATTGCGACACGACTTGGAGAATGGAAACGCGGATGCCTGTCTGGATATGATCGAGCATAAATCTGACCATGAGACCATTCTCGAATATTTTAATAGCACGAGGGCGGCAAAGTTTGTGGAAAAATGAGACCTCAAAATTCGTGTCTCAAAGCTTTCGTATCAACTTAATATATATAGTAGATGAAGTCATGTACAGAATCAATTACACTTATCCGTCTCTTTTCTTTCAAGAATGCACTTCATAGTGATTCATTTTTATTTTGGTCACTTCTCATATCTTTCAGCAACGATTGGTCTCAGTAGATTGCGTCTACTCACAAGCGGTGCTCCGCTTTGTTCGCTCGATCAACTTGATACAACAACTTGTTGCTTCTCCGTTTTTGTCAACGACTTTGTCGCAGGTGAGGGAGTTTTGTGTACCATCAAAGAATGTGATTAACTCATTCGCAGTTGTTTTCCTTTGTTTCGTTACATAAGTTGTTGATTTAAGGATGCAGCGGATGGACCAACTCTGCTTTCCGTAACGCGTATGATCTCCGGATCAATATTGCATCTGGCAGCTCTTGAGGTTTCATCACTTCTGAAATCAGGTTGGTTAAAAAAGCTATTTGCTAAATTTGGGGCGAACGGGTTTTAATGTTATAGGACATTTCAACATCCCGTATGAGATGTACAGCACCTTGCTTGAGACATCAGATGCCGTTTCGAATAGTGACGAAGCGTCAGAAGACGTGACAAACTTGTTGTTCAGGTCTGTTTTTTTGAAAGCCTGTTCATGTTACTTGCACTGCTATACGTAATATGTTTAAAGTCGCGTAAGTATTCATTGCATTGTCATGTATTCGGCAATAAAACATTAACCCGTTAACTTTTTGCAATTCTTTTCAATCTTATGTCTACACAGGGAAAATACAGAGATCAACAATATGTCAAAGAGGGTAATATTTTACTGTAATGGGCGGTAAGATCTATGACGGACGGTTAAAGATGTTTGAGAAAGCTGCGCGGGCGTCACATTTTGACGGGATGGCATCTTTTAACCCGTACTCGGCTACTATCCTACAACAGTTCTTGGATCTCTCGCAACCTTTTTTAAGTATAGGCTATCAAAAATGTTGTTTTGTAGTTTGCTACGTCATGGTCGCATCGAATTGACTGAAGAGATTGAATATCCTCGCTTAGTCCACTTCAATGCTCATAAGCTGCAAACGGTCAGTGTTTATCTTTGTTATCGTAGCATTTCGTTTATTTTTTTCATACCTTTCCCTTTTATTTTTCAACTATCAAGTTTTCCTGGCCTACAAGCTTACTTACTTCTTACTTACTTACTTACTTTAGCTTATTTACAAGCCTGTAAATTTTAGAACTTTTGTAATTCAACAGGGACGCGCTTCATCAACTATGAGCATGAGGACGATTTTTGTTTGAGTTCAATCAACAGGACTATTGACAATTTAAGGAACTCTAGCTATAATGACTTGGCTCCTGTCACTGGAAAATGACCATCAAAAAAAATTGTCTCCAATCTGAGCTGGGATTTACTTTTTTGCCTTTTCCTCGTGTGCAACTAGTGTACAAATAGTGCTAATGTGCAAGCGTACTACTTAAAGGACTAGCTTTTTCTCGAAAGATCGTGTCTTTTTGATGCATTTTTTGAATATTGCAAGTGGCTTTGTTCCAGAAAGAAGTTCTAGACATCTGCCAATATAATTAGGTATTCTTACAAACGGGTTTCCGCTATTTCTCAGAGGCTTGAAGCACTTCATTGTAACTGGACGGGCTTATTTCAGAAACTTTTTTTCTGCAGACCTACTCGACTTTCTGTGTCTCTTTTCTTTTCGTTTGACTTTCAGTCCAAGAAGTCGAGTTTTGGGTTTGACCAGTTCACAATACCCATGAGCCTTCGTCGCTTGTTGTCATCGCCCTTTTCTCAAATCGCATATATATACAGGCTCGGATGCCTTCCTTTATACCTCCTGCTTTGCTAATTGAAGCTAGCAACATTTTTTCTTTTGCTCTTCTTCTGGTTGCTCACCATATCTTTCTAATCTGAAATCCCGCAGTACCGTCTGAAGAGAGTGTGTATCGTGCGAAAAGTTTTATTCATTTTTTATTTGGTGCCAGTTCTATTATATTGAGTTTTCACTTGGTCTTGACTTACGTTGCACTCCACTATACTATTTAATTGGTCATACTATTGTTAGCCACTGCGCTGGAGCACTAAATAGTGTATGAAAAAGTGATAATGGAGAAAGAATATTTTGTTGCGTGAAAGACACATTTTGAAGAGTACAAAGAGTCATTTTCCTGAAAGTCATCAGTCCAAAAGTATCACGTTCGCTGCTATAATAGGAGTAGCGCCTCTGAATATAGTATTGAATCGTTCCAAATGACAAAGGATGGGGGTCGAGAAAATACTTGCTCATCCTTCGCACTCAACTTACTTGTACACGCAACCTAGTGAAAGAATGCCTACCGAGTAACTGTGCGACTGCAGACCACGCTTCAGAACGGGTCCTTGACTTTTGAACCTTGTAACAGATTCAATAATGAAGGACCTGGTACAAGGTCCAAAAGTCAAGGACTTATGATGACTTCGATAAAACTTTTAATTTAATCAGTGGTGTTTGAAGTGATCCTCTCATGTCTCACTGAGGATGGTTTCAGCTGTTTGACACTTGTAAAACGACAACGGTCTTCAATATTGCTCAATATGACATTGAGTATCTTCATGAGCTCTTGACTCGTGAGATCGTTAGCACTCAAGCCGAGGACACTACTGCTGTGACAAGGGTGAGTGGTTTCAAATGTTTCTGACGCGATGTTCACTTTCGTTTAAGTCAATAATGTCCTCTTAGTTAAGAGTATTGTTAGTGGCAGTGTTGTTTGTTATCGTATGATATTCAGGAGATGGAGGCGGTCTTAACATATGGTACTGATGTCAACGCTCAGCTACTACAACGTGGCGCTTCAGAACAGCTGGTCTCTGGGTGTACCGCTCTGCTGAACGTGATGGCTTTGTTTGCTCCAGTTCCATTCTTTTCGAATGGTTTGTTGCCTTCATGGGACTAGATACATGTGGCGTAACTGCTGTGACAGTCTGTCAAGAAGCTAAATTCAGTGGAGCATCGATAGGAAAGTAGTTTTTAAGAATCTCAACTCGAAATGTTGACTGATGCGGCTTTTCTGCTGGTAGAATATGTTAGCGGATGTGGCGCAGAAGAACAAGAAGCTGTGTGTACGACTTTGTTGCGATTGTGCAAATCGATTTGCAACTTATGCAAGCAAGAATATACCGAGGTAAGAGCGAATGATTCTATTTTTCTTTTGTTTTAGAAAATCTTTTGTGTTGACGGCTAGCTCTGTATTTATTCGATGAATAAAAACAATCAATTGATATGATTTCTTAGATCTTCTTGGAGACGTGGCCTCCGCGGAAACCTCTTGCTGGGCAGTGGCAATATTCGGCATCTCTTCCTGGTCGTCCTGGATTTCCCTCGAAACCTGGTGGACCTTCGAAACCTTGTGGTCCTGCCACTCCGGCTGCTCCGGGTGGTCCAGCTGGTCCTGGCTCTCCAGTAGGAGCGGGTTCACCAGGTGATCCCTGTGGTCCGGGATCTCCTGGTGGACCACGTTGACCTTTTGGTCCGGGACGTCCAATTGGTTTACGTCCATCGGCTCCTTTCTCGCCAGGTCGTCCATCTGGTCCTGGACGTCCTTGTGGACCGTGTGCCCCCAACTCTCCTGGCCATCCGGGATTGCCATCCTTTCCAGGTTGTCCAACGACTCCATCGGCTCCCTTCATTCCACGTGGGCCAGGTCGACCAGTAGGGCCTGGAGGGCCTGGAGGTCCATGAGCGCAGTAGAAGCAAATACCGGTGTCTTGCATCTCGGGAGTAACGTCAGCGGAGTCATATCCTGGCTTGCCGTCGAGACCGGGAAGACCATTAGGTCCAGGGACACCGGGAGCTCCTGAAAAAAGGAACTACATACTAATCCTTTACGATAAATCTTCTAAAATTTTACCTTTGGGTCCAACAGGACCATGACGGCATTTGTTGTGTTCTGGACTCTTGCATTGGCAGCCAGCACTAGTAGGACCTGGCCCCGAGGGAGCTAAACCAAATGAGCCTGCGGGTGCACCTGGGCCCCCGCCCGAGACCCCACCCGAATGAGAAGATCCCGATGACCCCGGAGCACATGGACCGCAGTTCGGGCCAACACAGCCTGGACCGCAGTTCGGACCCGATCCGGCGGTTGCATAAGCCGCCTCACGTTTACGACGAGTAATGCCGATGTGAACGAGGTCCTTCCAGAGTTGGTCCGTTTGAGTCTGAAAACAAAGTCATCTGCTGGGTGTGCCCTGCCTAGACGATGGTTTACTTACGCGAATGGCGCTCATCTCCATGTCAAGCTCAGACCAAAAGTCCTGTACATTGCTGTAGATTTGACCGATGGCCAGGAGACAACAGAGCAGAGCGATGCCACTGAGTGAACTCGCCACGAAAGTCACTGTGTAGACTTTCATCCCCTAAAAGATGGGGAATTTTGAGTCAAGTGGAAATAGACTAACGTTTAATGACTGAGTAGAAAAGCGTTTGCGGTGATACGCAGATGCTCGCTGGTTGTTCTTAAATACGTCCCAATATCCCGGATCAGAGTAACGAGAGTAACCGGTTTGCGCTCGTGAACATCTTATAACCAGTAATTGCCGCAGAGTTTTTCGCTTTCACGCTCTATCAATGGTAATTTCGACGGAGTGATAAGAAAGAAGGATTAGTAGAGTAAGCAAATGCATCCACATCTAGGGCTTCCTTCTCGAGGCTTGCAAACATAACAAACTGCGTTGGTCATGAATGCTTGAAAACATGTGCTCTTCAAAATGCGCAAATGCCTAGCAAGCGCTTAATGAGTGATGAAGAAGTCTGGTTGAGGGGAGCAGGAGGTGATATGGTCATAACCACGACCATCGGGAGGCGTATAACTTCTCACGTTGTCCCTCTGTTTTCCTCTTGGGCACGTTGGACTTAATGCCATATGCTTGGTTGGTGCCACCCCCGTTTCATTAGGCTACCTTCCATTTATCGAACCTTACTAAATATTTATCACAAATTTCTCTAAACAGACGCATTGAGTCGTTTTCTCTTTCTAGTCAGTTCAGTTAGATTTCGTAGACTAGCTGGCACTCCTAAATATGAAAGGATTGTGCAGTTTATTTCATCGCAGGGTCGGAAGACGTGTGAATACTGATCGTATTCACACATATCTTCCGACCATTTCAATGTTTTACATTGGGATTTTTTTCCACATGCTTTCTTTCTTCGATCAAAAAGTCTCGTCATTAAGTGCTTGATTCACTGAACTGACTCTGAATGAATTGCTAACGGCTCATTCGTTTACAAGTATGTGTCTAAGCTTTGAAAGTAGGAACTTTCGGGGTGTTTGCAGACAGAGAGCAATTCGAGTAGCTTGCTTTTACCAAATACGTGCGACGTCTTGACTGAGCTACTTGAACAGGTCATTGAGTTGCCTTGTTCTCGGAAATTTCCTCGAGGAGTACACGCTCTTTTCGTATTCATTGATTCGTTCTTTTTACGGTCTCCAGCGGTTGCGAGATATTCCATCATCAGTGGTTGTGAACACTGGGAGTGCGAACCATGTACCTTCAGAATATGTTGTGAAACTAGTCTTTTCAAGGGAGTTATGAAGGAAGGCATACATCTTGGACTTTAGTGTCTGCGAAGTTATTCATTATGTGTTCGAATTTCTCGCATACTTTGCTGGCGCTCGGTACTCTGAAGTTTAATACCAGGGAGGAGTTCGACTTTTCTCTGAAGCAATCCAAATCCCAAGCTAATCATTAAAACCGATCAAGTTTTTGTATTTTGCTGTGCGATGTCGCAGACTAATCTATGGGAGAGAGTTAAACGTAAACATCGTTTCCCACATACGTCTTCAGTTGACACCTTTGAGATTAACCCACAAGTGTAGCATGACGTTTGCTGGATGATTGTGTTTGAATGAAAATCTTTTACGGAAAAACTTGAAAAATATCAGCAAAATGAGTAAAAGAAGCTAAAGGAAGGTGTTTGGATAAATGACAGAGGGGTGGTGTAGATTAGAATTGAAGGTGAAGGACGGACTTGATGAATTAAAGGACGGACTGCCAGTGATGCGATTATTTTATCAAAACTAACTTCTCGCCATTTTCGATATTTGAATTTTATGTCTTTTTTCTGATCTTCAGAAAGTGAAGAAATTTCAGTAAAATTACTAACCTTTCTGTTTTGAGATGCCTGACTTACGTGCAGCTCTAGCGCATTTGATGAGTCCGCTTCTGGAACTTCTAGTTCAACCGGGAGAACGGTCTTTGAAGGCTAAGGTTTGTTCAAATGCAACAAAATGGGACTAGACTGCTTTTTAATGATTTCTTGCATCAGATTTCTATCTACGGAAGTGTTCGGCTATGTTTGCGGGATGCCTATGTGAAGATGGAAGACAAGGTCTTTTTCTTTTCGGGTTCCAGCTAATCAATCATGCTTTTTTTCTATTTCTTGGTTGTTCAGCATGTTGATAATAACACGAAGCCATAATCACAATAGCAGAACTTCTTTTCAGGACGCGAGCAGTTCAGGTGATAACTGGCTGACCAGCGGTGTTATATTTAGCGGTGCTGGCGCAACCGCCAGCGGCGATCCAATTGCTGAAGTGTTGAGCGCCATGGGTTATGAGCTGAGTCAGTGCATCTCCAGCGATATTGTGGACTTACCACAACAGCATAAGGTGAGTAGAATCTCGTTTTCCGTGCAGAGAGTCAAACCATTAAAAGAGAATTTATACTATGTCTATTTCCATGAATGACCTATATGCCTTGCCGGCTTTACGCCATATGTTTCAACGATAAGCGAGTTGACGTCTTCGTGAGAGGTGTGGGGGTACGGTAGCAGAACAGCTGATGGACTCGGTGGTGAGGGTGGGGCTCGGTATGTATGCGGCACCTGAAGACAAACTTTGCGTTGACACCGTCTTTTGGAATTCTGTCATGTGCAAGTGAAAGAATATGTGTCACATGTAGGAAAGGTGCTCACCGTTTTCTCGGTTTGAGTAATTGCATCCATATAGGCGAATTCTCGTCGTGTTATTCCAAGTAACGGGCATTTGTCCTGAATGGGCGGCTTGTCTAACCTTTATTCATTCTCATCCAAAACACTTACATCAGTTTGTAAAATACCGAGAGTAGCAAAGTGATTTATTGGGCAATCGCTACTCATGCCCAATTCGTCATAGCTATCGAAACTGGCTATTGTGTGGGTGGCTCCTAGTCGATTATCTCTGAAATGGGATTATTGGAAAAGTGAAATGATTTCGATGGAAAAGACTGACCTCAAGGGCATGTACATGCGTCCGGGTAACCAGTAGGCTCTGCTGAATTTTGTGTGTAGAAGGTTAATGAATAATGAAACGATTGATAGTCCGATGAGTAAGTAAATGAAGAGCAAAAGGAGAACGACTGGTTGTTCTGAAATAATGAAGAGAAACAGTCGCAGAAGCAGCCAAATAGCTGTGTTTCTGTTATCGCTGAGGAAGGATCAAAGCCCTTTAATTGGGCCCATGCCTAGCCCATGCTTACAGCAAAGTATTCCTGTGAAGTATTCTCGAGCGGGGATCAACTGTGTTGACGCGAACAATATGGAAGTGACCAAACTGCTGTGTTCGGTGTTATATCAACCCGAAAACAGACTACCCGTCCATCTTACTCCACCTTACGACACGTACCATATTTTTCCAGAAAAGGTGTTTTGGTTTCCACCTTCTTCGTTTGTTGGTTCATATTTGGTGAACCGAGTTAATCCTCTGTTCAACGTTTGTACTTGGCCTAATGTAAAGACTGCTCAAAAGGATCCAGTTCCGGTAAAGTTTCTTCAGCTAGCCTCTAGAGACGCGCTGGCTGATGGCTGACCATCCGTCAGTTACTGATCACCAATGATCAACTCGTACAATTTCACCGCATCTGCATTTGGTAAATGTTGGCATAGGCTTTAGTTTTGAGTGACACGCTAAAAATCTAAGGGCGGAGGTGGTGTAGTGGCAAGTGGCGTGCTATCAGACATGCATGGTCATCGGCTCGAATCCATCGATATTTGCCTAAACGAACCAAGCCTTCCATCCCTCTGAGGTCGCTTAATTGGTACCAGGCTTGCCTGTAAGGATAAAACTAACGAATAAAACGAGTAAAAAACGAACGTAAAAAACATCGTGTGGCCTCCGCAGTATCAGCCAAGTACACTTTCACGCCACCACGATTCTGAGTGGAAGTGGAATGCAAGAACGCATCCGAAACCAGGATTAGAAAACTCAAAAAACTCGAAAACTCGATTTTTATTCTTTGTGCTTGACATCCTTGGAAGAGGCAGTTGGATGAATTTCGTGCAGGTGTTGTTTTCCTATTACGTTGAGGTCCTCCCGAATTAATTCCAAAGTAGAAATGTTTTTCACGGGAGCGCCGGAACTTTTTCGAGTCAGATAGGAAATTCTGGGAGGCTATGATAAGCGCCGTTGTGCCAAATTTGTGATGTTCTATTCAGAATGAAACTTACGTCCAGGTTCAATGTCGCCAACGCCAATGGTGGCTAATGAGTTGAAAATGAAATAGAATGTGGCAGCGGTGTCGTGATTAGGCATGTAAAAGTGTACAATGAAACATCCCAAGCAGGTCCATCCGACCACGGCCATTATAGCGACTGTGACCTGAAAGTGTTTCTAATAATCAGGCTTGTCATTACTACAGATGAAGTAAACAGTAATTATAATGGTTGGCAAGGAAGCGACATGAAGAAATTTTGGGTTCGTTTCTTGCATTTTCCAGGTTAGTAATCACAAATAAATTAGAAATGTATATTCACCACAGAGATCAGCAAGCTCCCCTGATCCAATGAGTAAATCGCTGAAGAGTTTTGTTCTGAAGTCAGGAATCTGTGACTCAACGAAACTATTGGCTGCCGTTTTCATATCATATTGAGTTACGAACATTTCTTCCACGAAAGGATGCTTGACAAGGCGGAGCACATGGTAATCGGAGGGGGCAACGTTTCGGGTGTACGACTGATGAGCAGACTAAAACAAGCGTGGACGGAGAATTTTTGACGGTTGTCTGAAGCGAAAATTCGAAATTTTGCGTTTCATCCTTTAGGTTCCCGAATGATAGTTTTGAACATTATTCTCTAATCGCGTTGGCTAAATGCAGTGCTTAGTAGGGGTAGGCGACAGGTGTGACTATCTAGTCTGAGTTTAGCAACTCATAGTGGGTGGGTCCCTTCACGCCATACAAAACTATGAGACGATGCTTGCTCGTATCTCCTGCAAAGAAGCAGTTCAACCATTTGTGATCGTTGATCGGTGTACAGTGCTTTCAGCAATAGGTTGCTGATAATTTCGGCCGCTACACTTGCGTTTTACCTTTGACGTGCCTAGTAGAAGATAATGGTCCGAATCTGATGTTGTCCAACCACTGATGGTAAAGTTGAGAAAGCCCACGTCGTGTTCGGGTTTTGATTTAAAATTAGACTTCGAATTTTTTGTCGCAGAACTTTTTTGCCAACGTAATAGATGGATTGAAATGATAAATAGTAGAGCTGCCGCCTGCGGCTAATGCTACCACTCGGAACACCTCTCGCTTTTATTTCAGATCAGTGCGAGTGACATCATTAAATCAAGCACAATAGGGCTGACGTTAGCTCAGTGTTTAGGAGATTTATTTGATGGCTCCTTCGAGATTGGTTGAGTTATATGGGTACGGTGACATCAGTGAAAATAGGCAAGAAATTGTTTGTGCAATTTTAGCTCATCTTATATCATGTGAAGGTGAGGAGCCTTTTTGAAAGGCTGGGGTTGGATTTTGAACAGCCTCTTTACATTCCCTACGAAGTTTTGCCCTTCTCGAATTGTTTTTCTATATATGTACATAAGTTCTAACCGGTATGGCGAGTAGACGCTCAACATTGTCAAGTCGATAGTCCTTTGGCTTCGCCTGATCGCCATGGAGTTTTCTGTCGAGCTCGTCTTCTTGTACAGCACGTAAGGTACAAAATCGGAATGTCGCCCAACACTTTTCTGAAACCTTTTTTTTNTTTTTTTTCGGTGAGAACCTTTTCAGGGTGAAAAAATAGTTTGTCTCCTCACCTAGTATATGGCATGGATAGTTCATCAATTTTGCAATTAAGAAGGCTATGTCCTTGATGACGATCAAGGTGAATGGTATACCAATAAGGCTAATGAAGATAGAAAGCATGCGTCCAGCCTTAGTAACTGGATAAATATATCCGTAGCCGATGGTTGTAATAGTAGAGAACACCTTAACAAATAGATTAATCAACTGTTGACTTCTCATTGCGAGCTGTGGGCATACGGTCTCATAGCTGGCCCTGAAATGCCTTGTTAAAAAAAAATGGCTCGAAGTGCTGATTAATAGATTGGCCTCATGCTCATTTGTATTCTGGGAGTTAGCAGATCAGTTTTTCTTGTAACGCGTCCTCGTTGGTTCACCAGCATTAGAGCGAAGGTCAACGTCAAACTCCTTGCTTAGTGCGACGAGCTCAGCAAAGGTTTTGTAATGCAAATGAAAAAAGTCCTGGACGACACAGATGGAGGTTTCTGCATGGCCAGTGGTGAATTAACAAGCTTCATGGCTCCGTGGAAAGATTTTCATGAATTTCCGGTTAACTCTTGGGCAACGCATGCGCTTTCTATTCTTTAGTCTTTCATATATATATTTATGATTAGGAACCATTTTCATGCATGCTTAACAGTCTTCTCTACCTTTGCAGGCCGTGTTCCATAAGTTATCGAGACTTCAAACTTTGTGATTTGCTCATCACCTTCTCTGCATAATGGGTTCTAACAGTCAACGGAGGAGCTTGGTTCTTTTGCTTCATCACTCTTGTACCTTTGGCTCTTGATCTGACACTGATAAGATAGGGACCTGTGGAACGTGTTACGTGGTGAAATTCGGCTGCGCAATGGAGTTGCTGCTCCAGATAGAGACCCTCGTTGCATAGGTTATCTTTTCGTAATGAACAGCACATAGCCGAATCATGGGCTCGGGTGCGATTGGGTCATAACAAAGATCAGAGAAACTTAGCTCAGCCGAGAGAACTTTCCTTGAAACACAAACTTCTCAACAAAGCGACCAGGCAATCAGGAATGAACTCACGAAGACTAATGAGTTAAAGAAAGTGCATGGCAGCGAAGGCATTGGTGGTCGTAGCTGCAACTGCTTCTCGTAAACTGCGAGACGTTCATTCATAATACTCGTGAGATATTGTGACTTTTGATCATGGATATACAGTAGTAGTTTCGTGTTGTTGAAAATCTCCGGCAGTAGTTTTTTCAAAATAAATCTGAAGTATTATTTTATATACTCAGGTTTCCATTAGAAGTTTTACTTGTTGCTGCTTCTAGATAGCTTATAGATAGATAGCACAGTTCACGATAATTTTGGGTAATCCACATTATGATGAAAAATGGAAGACAAGATCGAAACTAGTGCGACTGAGGTGAAGAAACTGCGTGCATCAGTGTTTATAAAGTGAAAAAAGGCTTCGAAAAATCGTTGAAAAGGGGGCTGGACGAGGATGAAACTAGAAAAATGAAGAAGAGTGCGGCGTCCGAACTAGCTAAACAGTGTGTTTCACTGCGCGCGTGTGGGTCCTGGTGCGAATAACACCAACCTGTATTGTCTCGACACTCGTCTAACGTGACGCCGATCGAGGGGCGGGAAAGCGAACTACGGCAGCAACGGGGCTTCCACCATGCCCTAAGCGCCAAGATTGTGGGAGCGAGAGGGTCCCTTCTACCACCCATGGGGGGGGGGGCGCTGAGTATTCCTGAAGGAAGAACTCAATAACCTTTTTTATCGTGAACCGTGCCTTTAAGTCGTTTGTGCACTGAAGCAGTTGGAAGGAGACAGAGAGGGTGCTCCCAAACCCACGGATGGCTAACATTGATTTTTTCGGGCATAGATAGCTGAAATAATACGAAATTTGGGTGATAGTTTAGCAGCGTCACCTGCTGTCCCGTTGATTATCCGGGCGTCCTTAACATCTTCATTTGTCCCTGCGACGAGCCACTGTAGCCAAAAGAATAGGAGTATACTACTCCTTCCCTCAAGAGCGTTGGTGCACAAGTCCAACCACCAGGTTGGCAGCCTCCTAAGTGTTCTTTTGACGTCCCGAGGGATCCATTCTGTAATCGCCCTAGTCCAACGGTCATCACGAAACCGCGTGACATGTCCACCCTCCTGATCTTCATTTGTTGTTGGAGCTCGGAACTTCCGTTATCGAGAATCAAAGACTTTATCTTTTCAACGGCTCGTTGACTGACGTTGACTAACTACTCATACCCCTTGGCACATAGTTGTGAGCAAATTACCATGAACACTTTCGGTGTGTCCATCTTTGTTCTCAAAAACCTTCAGCCATTCGGGGAAAGGCTCAGGAGTAACGGAACTTCTCCCCGATCGCGGCATTCTCCCTTGCGGCATGCGGCAAATGTCACTGCAATTACCGTACTCACCCCGCCTTCCCGCCAATCGATAGGACGCGATATTTTTCGTTGATTGCCTTCCTTTTTTATTGGATTTGATCGTTTTTTCTTCTGTTTCTTATTCGCTTTTATGTTTATTAGACTTGATTAATTAAAATGACTCCTTCTATGTAAGCGACGATCAAGACTGCATTGAAATTGGAGAAAGCGGTAAGCCAATTCAAATAATTAAAGGACTCCCTACCTCACAAATTGTGCGCTCCAATCTTCTTCGCAATCCTGCGATACGCGGCGGGTGCGGCGTGTGCGACGCCGTGTTAAGGGAGAAGTTCCCAGACCCAAGGCTCAGTCACATAACGCGACTGGTTGACGTCAAATTCGTCCTAATCATGGACGGAGCACCCTTTCGCGAGTCCAGTCTTCAATATCGTTGAGTACAGAGTGGTCGTTTCCTCATGACACGTCTGGACTTTTTCGGGTTGTGAGCGGGTACGGTCTCGCTGGATCGTGCGGTCTTCCACGTCCAACCCCAGAAAGCAACTCCACGTGCAAGATTTTGTTTCGACATAGTTCTTCGAGGATCTCTGCTCCCGGCCCCAGGTAGACGACTTTTTTGCAGTTCACTTCACTTACTAGCCTGAACCCACGATCTGACTGGCTGAAAGGCTCGCGAGACTATCCTTCCTTTTCCATTTGCTTATTCAGTCAACTGGGCAAGCTTCCTTTTTTGCAAGTTGAAAGCGAGTCCCGCGGTAAGAATTTCATAGGGAAGATGCTTGGTCAACAATAGAAACACAGTAGTTGATGGCTTGCTTTTTTGATATTCATCCAGTTGAGGCAAAGTTGGAGTTTGTTCGAATGACGAGCAAATAAGATTAATCATGCAAAATTGTGACATTGCTCAAAAGAAAAGTTGTATTGTAGTCTACATGCTCCGTGGGTATGGTGCACCCGGTAAAGTGGATATGAATTATTCATTGTTAGAAAAAGAATGATTCCGCTCACGAATTGCGTTCGCTATCCAATCGCCTCTGCCATTGGCGTCGAAATTTGTCGGAGTTGAAAGATTCAATCATAAAAAAAGCTGCAGCCGATACCACAATGAAAGACACATAAGAAAGGAGAAGCAGGAAATGACCAAGGCTAAAATGATTACTGGAAAAGATTAAATGCTGAAAATTTTCAGTTGTTACAGCCTACCTGTATTTCTGATAAATCCGCTTGATGAGGAGTACCAATCGAAAAGCTTGTGCATTGCTCAGACACATTTTTGACAACTTAGTGACTTCGCCTCATAGATGCAGTGAGGTTGGCTCCACTTTCAAAAGCCAAATAACGCATTAACCTGGAATTGGTTTTTCTTCTACTGAGTAATTTTCATATCCTTGGTAATTTTTGTTAAATATGAAAGAATGTCAAGAAAAGCATAGATTCGGATGGAGCTTAGTTTTGGCATATATCTGTGAATGAGATTATGTTCCTAGTTTTGAAAAAATAAATAAAAGGGGGATACCAAGCACAAAGAGAAAAGAAGGAAGTCAATAGTATGATGAATTCTTACCATATGCTGCTTGTGAAAAATTTTTGTCAAACGATATGGTTTCCAGTGAACTGGACTTTCGTGGCTTAAGAAACTATATGCGCAATGTTTCATTGAANTGCCAAATGTTGTCGCTCCACACTTTGTTTGGAAGGAACGAATGTTTGAAAAAGTCACGATCTTTGTCGCTTGACGATTGGGAAAGTAATCAAATGATCGAGAACGGCAGTTGCTTGAGTTTTTGGCCTAACGAAAAAGGTCTTTTCCACCGAGCGATGACGTCAATCATTTCGTTTATGCATATTCTCGTAGATGAACGGAGAACGATCCGTGAATGGGATCAAATAGATAAGAGTAACCCTAGGGTGCAGAAAAGAGGCGCTATGGCCGCCTGATGTCGTGCCCGCGATAACTGTGTTGTCAAAGCTCACAAGGCTGTCATGTCTCCAAGACGCTAGCGCGACTCCTCCCCAGGGGGCACTCGATGTCTCTCATGTTAGTTGCTGCTTTCTACTCGTTTCTCGAGTTTTTCCGTTGATATTCGGAATTTTAAAATTAAGGCGCTGTGTGATGTTATGCCCATCCCAAGTGTTGTAATGGGATAGGGTGTACTGTGAGGTTGTGAATGTCTTTGGAAAACAGAACAGTTTGCGTAGTGACGCAGTTCCTTGAAAGGATATCCTCCAGTTCTGTAATATCATGGATGATTTCTTTTTTATAGCGAGCTGCTCATCCAAGGAAGAAGACAGTTCAAAGCTTTCGAATATACTGCTATAAGAGATCACCTGTCCAGCGTGCACGCAGCTTCATTAAAAACAACTTAGGAAGTGTTCATAGGTCATGGTTAGGTGAAATAGTAAGAATTATGTAAGGTGCAGCCTTTAATTATTTAGGAAGATGGTGAACGAATGGATGTGTGCCCGTAATCAATATTCACTTATCTCTTTTGATTTTTGTTAGTGTATGACATGGTCCGAGTCAAGACGTGAAATTAGCAGAATGGGTTCGAAATTGTTAGTTGGCGTAGTATTGGAAATGAGATAGCTCAAAACTCAAAACTATTCAGCAGTTATTACTCTATTTTTACCCTCTGAAATCTCTACAGTCGTGCAAGGCAATTGTCATGTCACGCTCAGATCAAGCAGTACCTATTTGTAGTTTTTGGAAGTTCAGAAAAAGTTAATTTTCAAAAACTAAATTTGTGAAAAAGAAATCATTTATGCGCTCGTCTTACTGGGTCTGGATCCTGAAAGATGAGTGTATGAAAGTGGGTATGCATCAATTTCTTGGGGTGGCTCGACAGCGCATCTATAACGAAGATTTATTGTTCGAGTCTTCGCCAAAGCGACTATAGTGGGTTCCATGCGCAATAGCGTGGTTTGCGGAAGTCATATAAAAAGCAGATGCAAGGACTACGAAAAGCTGTCCGCTCTCTAGTAGATACTGACGAGTTGAAGCCATTGAGAGCATCCCGATGAGAATGGTATTGCTATTTCACGGACCATTGGGAATATTCAACTGCTAAGGATGTTCCACTGAAGCTATCTTCGGTTCTGATTCCACCGTATTTCAGTCCACACCGCTGTTGTTGTTAAGCGATGTGCTACATGAAGACCGGAAAACGGTGAGTATTTGGGATCTTCTACTTTCATTTTTTTTATTAAGCTCATTCTGATATACCTGGAGATTCAGTAGTAGTCCATCAGGTATTGCGCAGTGGGCCTGATTATGCTTTCATTTAACCAACTTTTTTTATTCAGTTCGCTGTCATGATTTCGAAGACTGGTGTGGCGAGATACATGACAGATTTGTTGGCGTCGATCGAGTTGGACTGGGTGGCTTTGTCGCGACGAGAACCGGACGATGAGCAAAGCCATGTGCTATACAGCAGTTTGATGGCGAGTTCTCGGTTTGAATCTTTTGTTGTAATCTTTTGAGTGTCAGAATGCCTTAAGTAGCGCCAAGACACTACGGGAGCTTGTGATACGCCGTTTCCCTTATTTCAAATCCTTTTTTCTAATGAGCATCGGTTCACCGTCTTGTTGCTCGAGCCAGCCCCGTGTTTTGAACTCACATATTCAGGCTTGCTCGGAGTAATTTTTGAACTTTACTCAATATCATCCACCTGCTTACTGCAGTACAACAGCTTTCACCAGTAGGTGTCGATTGGGGGCTTGTTCATGGCAAAGTGTTGTTGAACGTTCGGGTTTTTCGTTTTACAACTCTAAGTACCATAAATGCTTTCTACCCTAAAAATTGTCTCAAAGTGATGGTCGAACCACTCCAGCGAAGCGGCAATGTTATTCGAGATCGTTTATTTCTGAACATTCTTAAAAGGCTCTTACAACCTTACCATTCAGATCGCTCTTTCTCGGTTAGCTCTCACAGAATGTGGATGGAACACCCTAGCTGAACTAGCGTTGCCGGAGGTATGTGATGGTATTTTATCAATATTTTTTCAATCAAACATTACCGCTTTGGCTTTCCTAACAAATAGGTGATTGACCGCGTTCAGTTGTAACGACCTATTATTGGAATAACAACCAGATGTTTAAGTGAAGTGGAGTAGAAAGTGACGTGGTTGAATTACTGAGGTTCACCTCTTGTGAACGACTTAGAAGGCGAGATAGTGATCCGACAGTTTGCGTTCTGCAGCTATCATCTTCTCAGTACCCTTTCAAGCACCAAGAAAGTCCAGTTATCAGTATGAAAGGGAGTACTGATTCCCTTTGCTCAACTCCACTTTGAGACATCATCTATCGTGCAAGACTCTCTGCAAGTGTAGCGACCAATACAATATTTGTCTTAATCAGGAAAAAAATGTGATCCCGGACCAAGCTAGCTTTCCAATATGATGATTTATGACGCAACTTGCTCTCGGAGCTGAACGCTATCACTCGTGAATCGGCTGCGACGCTTGGGTGCACTGAAACGATGGCTATAACTCATCACTACGGCTCTTAGCGTAGAATTCTATCAACATGCACTGCGCATATTCTGAGAAATGTTTTGCCCTGTTTTGTCAGCTGACTATTTTGGCGGCGGCATTTTTCGACAAATATTACCTGAACGAAGAAACACTTCATAAGTACGACAGCGACAAGAAATCTTTCCTCTCTTTACTTGCCCTCATGTGAGGGTGCAGGTTAGGAGATTCTGGAGCGCAGCTGAGAAGTACAAGCCCATGCACAGTACCGTCTGAAACTGGCACCTTTCAAATGCCTTTTGTTTCGAACCCAAAGAGATCTTAGTTGAGGCAAATACTTTGGAAAAGCCAATAGAAGTTTTGAAGGTCATTGCTAGCAGTGGCACATGGCACACGCAGAATTCCCTTGCCACCTGAATAATCTTCCTTTGATGTAAAAGTTCAATCAAAAGCTAGTCATAAATCGTGCGTTCCACGTCACATTCTTGAAGAAGTGCGGCCACGCCGTCATAGCAGGCGGATTCGACTGCGTATCAGTGAATTATGTTCGAATTTAAGGTACTAGCTGAGTTGCGCGTGTTCTCTAATCCACCTAAGCAAATGTTCTTAGAACCAGCCAGTGTCAAAAAGTAGGTTTTCGCTTGAATATTAATGTTCTCTGCATTTGGTTCCTTAACCTGCAGTTATTTCCAGAAAAGGATCGCCAGCGGAACTGTATGTATCATCATTCGAAGCAGTAATTCAGCTGTGCAGTGCGATTTGTGCTAAACCGAAGTGGAAGCGACTGTCGTTTAAGGTTGTGTATCTGTTGAGATCCTCTTCATATAGTCTTTCCTTACTTCTTCCTGTCTTTTTTACTTCCCAGCAGAACAATTATTGTGTTTCTTTACTATTTCTAATTGCAGATTCTGGATGTAGTTCATTCGCAAAGGGAGTTACTCAGTCAGTTGATGCGAGCAGAGATCAGTTGTCGTATGATGAACGCAACGGCTTTATTGGTGCAGTACATATGGGATAACGGTAGGAATCGAATTTGTTCCCCTTAGGTGTACCTCACATGTGGCGCAAGAAAATCGTGAATTCCTCTCTCTCTCCTCTTTAAACTTTCTTTAGCACTTTGAAAAGCCTTATGGGCAAATAACAAAATTGGATGAGATGCTGTTGATGACTGTTTTGGCACTCACTTGAACTCATCAAAGTAGTGGAAATGCACGACTGAGGCTTCACCCAAACTTTCTTTAGCACTTTGGTAAGCCTTATGGGCAAATAACAAAATTGGATAAGATGCTGTTGATGACTGTTTGGCATTCACTTGAACTCATCAAAGTAGTGGAAATGCACGACTGAGGCTTCACCGATTCCACTTCTGAAATCCCCGCATTCGTAGGAGCTCCAATGACAGCCTTGAGAAACTGGCGGTACTACTCATGAGCGACCGTTTTATTTCTAGACCAGGCGGCTACGCGCGCTATAGCGTGCGCCTAGGGCTCTAGCCATGAGGGACGGAGCCACATGAGCTTCTGATTTTCATTATTGACCTTTATCAACTGAGCTTCTTCCCTGACACTTCTGTAGCGGCCATCATTTTTCTTTTTTTTGGGATGAGAAACGGGGCTGTGTGTGGCCACGAAGAGAACTCCGACGTATCCAAATCAAATACTACCTCTGCAGTCAATGTAGTCGAAGAGACCCTGTGTAGTTTGGGCTTTGTATGGCCATGAACACTAACTTTGAAAGGAAAGCCCTTTGGGTAGTTGTAGGGATTTACACGACTCTACAGAGTATGCACCTGTGTAGCCCGGGTTATTGTAGAGTTTATTTTATGAAGTCTGAAGTTATTGTAGTGCATTTGCTCCTGTGTAGAAGGGACTACTACGTGTGGAACCACGGATACTAACTTTTAGAAAATTTTTAGCCTATTTTTCGAAAGAGTTCAGTGGTATCCCCTAGTTGTACACCTATGTAGTCAGGGTTAGTGTGAAGGACAGATGTATAAATTTTTGATCTTAGCTCCCCCC